TTTATTTAAAATATTGTGCATTTCAAGCTTACCTGTCTTGAACTGATTATATTGGAGTGATGCTTTCAGGATACTTTTTCAATGGCAAAATGCATTCTTGGTACCAAAAATACACTTTTCCAGTAAATATAAAGACACGTTCTAAAAAGGAAAGGAAAATGAAGAGGAAATAAACCTCTTTGTGAGGTGGGGCTGCCAGCGTACATTATGCCTATGCATTAAAAATGTTTAATTATTCACAAGTGAACATAATGCTTGGCAGCCAATCCAGGCCTCTGGCTTCTGTTGACCTCAGAGTTCCTTGGAGTCTCCCGATTCCTCAATGCAGCTTGCTATCTGCTGAGGGCCATGTCACGTTCAGAGCTTGGAGCCTCTCTTACAACTAAGGGGTTACCAATAGCATAGAAGACCTCTAAAATACGTGACAATAGGATTTTAATCTGTCCTAATTTTAAATAGCATGTGAGAAGTCAACATAGCTTTTGACTAAGAGCTTGCAAACACTCTTAATATGAGCCATGTTTKTTGAATAATAAAATTGGACCCGTGTCCATTATCCCTCAGTCAATGGAAGAGCTCAAGCTGGCTTGAGCCAGAGCATTCAGGGAAAGCAACGCACAAGTCCCCTATTTCATGTTCTATATTTAATCAGCTCAGTTGATGTCTTAAGTGTGGAGTAGGGTTGGGGTTTACAAAATATTTATAAGTATATTCCCTATATTCAGAGAGAGTGTGACAGTACTTTAAAACAGTACCACCCTGAGCAGTTCTGCATGGAGACCCCCACTTTCATGGACGCCTCTTTGAGTGAATAGAAATCTCTGATGCCCTCTACATGACAAGTGCGCTGTTTACGTTTGTACACAGTGATGTGAGGGCCTTCCCCACCTGTTTAGAGAAAACCCCYACACTGCTTGGATCTGGCATGCCCTGTGCTGAGTGTCACCTGGTCACTTCTCACAGATTCCCCTGGCCCTGGCTCATCCCCTTCCTCTTGGACTTTTTCAGTCACGGTGTAGCCTAGAATTTGTCCTCACCACTGTGGTACCCTTTGTTCTAGAACTCTTGGCAACTATCCTCAAGCTCCTGTGTAAAACCATGTTCGGTCTGCTGCCGGGGAGCCCTCTGCCACGTCTCCATTACTTAGCGTCCGTTAGCCTTGCCCACAAGGATCTTGGGATATTGTCTTTTTCTCAGAGACGAAGAAAATCTCAGCAGCTTTCATTCTCTTCTCAGAGATACCTGTTCTCATTGCTGAAAATTCTTACTGCTGTTCGTACAGATCTGTGTAAGGGATCTCTTTATACACATATATTCTCACACAAATCCATCTGGGTATCCATATTGATCTCAGGATGATTTGTGATAGACTCTCATGCCTTTGAGTCTCTCTCTCTCTTTGGCTTCTATTAGAGCTGTCTGTGACCCTGTTGTGTAGCCTAGCAATGACAGTCCTGCCTTCAATGWGCCCTAGGCAAATTAGTGGTTGATGTCAAGTCTCCAGGCATTGAGGATGTCTGTGGTATTCACGGCAATATCCATTGCATGCTATCCCCCACGCTTCTTCATCTGCTTCCTTCCTGACATTTAGCTTTCCCTCCTTATGCAAGCAGCCTGCTATGGCAGAACTTCCGTTCCTGATTCCAGAAACCCAGAGGTCAYAGCCGATGCTTCCCTGCTGTCCTGCTCCTCTGCAGAAAGTGCCCACACAGACCTCAGTGACACATGCCATAGACCACCCAGAGATTCACAAGGGTACTCAACATTCTTTTTGATGCAAAAAAGCAAGGGTCACTTCTGGAAGGTGCTCAGGTGCTACATGTGCACATGGACCCTTGAGAAAGCCAGAGGAAATTTTCTGTAACTAGTTCTCTAAAATTAATGAAATAGAGCCAAGTGGGGTACGTCTTAAGTGGATCATCCCACCACCATGTTCTTCTGTAGGGGATGAGAAAACCCCCACACTTCTTCTTTTCCATCCCCGGGAGCTTCTGTCTCACATRCTTTGCTACAGCCCTGTGTCAAGGTAGAAGAACTTGTCACACTAACTGTCATTTGGTCCACTGGGCTCCAGAGTGCTCCAGTTTCAYTTTTAAAAGCCCACAAGGTAGATAATTAAAAATAATCCTAGATTTAAGGATCACATAGATCTTTACAGCTTTATCATCTTTCTTGCKCACATTTGACTCTGTCCATTATCTGTTGCTATAACAGAATTACATTTATAAAAAAATAAAGGTTTGTGTGGCCCATAATTCTGAAGCCTGGTGAGTTAAAGAGTATGCCTCCAGTATTTGCTTGGCATCTGGTGAGGGAATTATGGTTGCATTGCAGCATGGGAAGACAGAGCAGGTGTGCTAGCTCAGGTCTTTCTTCCTCTTTGCATTACTAAAATGAAATACCAGAGACCATTAACTTCTGAAGACAAAAGGTTTATTTAGCTCATGGTTCTGGGGATTCTAGTCCATGAACACTGTCTGGTGAGGGTACCAGTTGGCAATAGCAGGGAGTAGACATTGGAGCAGACCTTCACATCATGAGCCAGGATGTGCTGAGTGACGGGAGCCTCACAGTCCCTTATGGGCCTGCCTCCATTACCTAGGGGTGGTGCTTGCCACCACCTCTTGCAGGGTCCATCTCCCAACACCATCACCCTGGGAACCAAGCCTTTTTAGCTATGAGACTCTAGAGGGCACTTAAACCATGGCAAGACTAATGCTGACAGTGTTGAATGATAAGGGTCTAGTGAATTAGCTTCTGCCCCCGAAGATACCAGCACCTATACTGGAGAATACTGATTCTGGACAACTCAGCAGTCAGGAAACATCTTTACCTGGATGGCAGGTGGGCCTCACTTGCCTGCTTCATCTCCCTTCATGACTACATCAGTAGGATTTGTTTTTTTKTTTTTGTCTCTGGCACAAGGGTTAGTAAGAGGCTGCTGAGATGCAAGGTGCCCTAAGTCTCCAATCTCCAGACCTCTGTAAGAAACAGCATTTGAAGAAGCTCATCTTAGGATGGTCTTATGCAATGCCATTTTTGATAGTAAGGGGCAGGAGCACATCATTACTTCTGGGGCCTCCAAGTCTACGGTGGGGGCTGTTCTAGTTCATTCCTTTCACTCCCTAATTTGTCTGTAGGTCTTTTCTCCAAAGAGCTCATGAGGAAACCTTGGCAGTAGAGTGGTTAGAAATGTAGGCACCAGAGCCAGGTACCCTTGCAGTTAACTCCCAGCTCTGCCACTTACTAGCTGTGTGACCTTAACAAATTCAACCTTTCTGTGGCTTAGCTTCTTCGACTTTTAAAATAGGATAATGACAGTAGCTCCCTTGTGGAGTTCTTCTCAGGCTTAAATAGTCAAGTGTACCTAAAAACACTGTGGGCCTAGTGCCAGGTAAGTTCTGTAAACTTTATTGGGGTTAGGTGGACTTTGCTCTCTGAGGGGAGCATGCATCTACTTTCCATATTCCAGTCCACGTCCTGAGCTACCTCTCAGCTGTTAGCCCAATTAATCCTTCCAGCTACCCTTCAGTGCTGTGATAGTTCCCATTTTCAGTGGGTGAAGAAATCAAGGCATGGAGAAATTACATGACTTGCCTAAGATCTCTGAGCTTTTAACAGAGGAGCTTTGATCCCAGACAAGGTCTTTGGCTTTCAGTATCCAGACTCTTAAGTCTCCAAATCAAAAGGAATTTGGTGAACAAAGATGGAGGGGTATGAACTAGGTTGATTATTAAAAGCAGTTGTTCTCAGTCTTGAGTGTACCTTAGAGTCCCCTGGAAGGTTCATCAAAACACAGATTTCAGAGCCCACCCAAGTCTCTGAATTAGCAGGTCTGGGGGGACCCAGGCATCTGCCCTTGTAGCATTTGATGCTGAGGCTACGTCTCCAAAGACCCAACTCTGACGACTGTTGATGGGAAACCTCAGTCCAAAATGACATAATTGTCATCTGATTCATTGATGGTTTTACTTAGCAAAATGTACTTACCCACTCTGAGGAGTCTGTGCAAACTGAGAGAAACATGGTGACTTTCAGGGTAACTGCAGTTTCTCTTCCTTACAGTGCTGGACCCATCAGTATGCTATCAGTGTCTCAGAAGAATGCTAACAGTGTCTCATATTTTCTTTTGGAAGAAAAATATGCAAATGATAGAATTACCACTGTGTGACCAAAATAGTCAGGCAGAGTTAGCAGTAGCTGTGGTATTCATTCACCCCAGCAGTTCATTGCCCCACAAAAAAATAGTTGCCTTTGGATAACTYTTCCTGATCTCTTACACACAGAAATGTAAGAGACCACCTCTACTTTAGGACTCCAGATGGATTTACATCACTGTAAGATGAAAAGGACRTTGAATGCTCATGAACCAGAGAAACAAAATGATCTCTCAGAAACTTGAAAGGATCTGGGGTCATAACTCCAAGCATGAGTTTTCCCCCCAAATTATGAATATTTACATGAAACAAGGAAAGGTAACATTATGTGTAAGAAAAGTTCTTTAGGCTTGATAAATCACCTCTAGGGACTCTCCCAGCAAGTTCACTTATTCTAAGGAGTTGGATCATGTGACTGCATATTCACCTTCTAGATGCTAGGTGCTTGTCTGCCAAAGTGTCCACAGAATTCAGCCCCAGATTCCTCCTGAGAGTCCACGAGATTGTGGATCCGATGATCTTAACCTGCTTAAAGTGAGGGCTCAATCTTAAAGTGCAAACTTTATAAGTAGTTTTTCATGCATTTTTAGGTGCTCTCTATTTAGATCTCTGAAGGGGGTCTGCAGGTCCTTCCCATATCCCTCTGCCCTGGGTGCATCCTTAGGGGCTGCYATCCAAGCCCTATGTGGATTGAACATAAGGAAAGTTGCGACTTGGTACATGCTAAGAACTCTGTCCAGTTGTTCTCTGCGTCCGTTTGATTGTCTTTTTGCTGTTGTGTTGTTTTGTTTTGTTTTGTTTTTTTCAGTGACACTGAGTGGCTTCCTGTATTGTTTCTTTCAGCCAGTAATGTTAAAGTAGAGACTCAGAGTGATGAAGAGAATGGGCGTGCCTGTGAAATGAATGGGGAAGAATGTGCGGAGGATTTACGAATGCTTGATGCCTCGGGAGAGAAAATGAATGGCTCTCACAGGGACCAAGGCAGCTCGGCTTTGTCGGGAGTTGGAGGCATTCGTCTTCCTAACGGAAAACTAAAGTGTGATATCTGTGGGATCATTTGCATCGGGCCCAATGTGCTCATGGTTCACAAAAGAAGCCACACTGGTAAGGCCTGGCATAGTTTTTCCTTTAGTGGCCTGAGAAGGTCCCATGGGGTGGTGAAGAGCAAAATATCCTATGTGGAGTGTTTTGAGCGTACTGCAAATTGACTGGCGGCACAGCAGTTGCATGTAATTGGCTCCAACTTGTACTGATGCCATAGCATCATCATGGAACAATATTTAGAATGATTTCTCAACATATGCCACTGACCCTCTAAATAAGAAGGGAAAAGTCAACAGCATATACATGTGCAGTCTGTCAAGGGCCTCGTATTATACATGCTAGTCTCAGCTACACTGTTAGGTTACCATGTTAAGTGATCCATGCTTAAGAGCAAGTCAGAAAGATCTAAATGCACCAAAACAGAGTCTTCAGTTTTCCCACTTAGAAACCACGTGTTTTCGATTCATTCTAAGTAATAGAACTTGTTCAGAAAAATCAGTTAATGACGGACTAGTGCCAAAATGTAGTTTATCAGAAAGAGTTTGAATCAGTTTTCATATGGGTCACCCTGTAACGGCTGAGACATTGAATAGGACTRTGATATCGCCACTTGCTTTCATCTCCAACTGGTAAAGAATTTCATGCCAAACCTGTCATACTGAAAGTTTTCCTGGAGACTTTGGAAGTAGAAAATAATGTAATATTCTGTATTCAAAAATGAAAAAACCCAGGGAATCCAGCATCTGAGAACTGTACCCAGGCTCACAAGATGCCCTGTCATGGGGCCATGAGTCTCAGCTGGCCATGATGGCCCTGTCCACTCATGTCTTAGTGATTCCTGTCTATTGAACAGCCACATACTTAGGAACAGAACTGTCACACTATCACCACTGACAGTAATGGACTCTTAGAAGTAAAATGTTAATGGTACTTATCTTGCATGAGGTTTCTTTGGAAATGAACAGAAATTCTTCTTTCCTTAGAAAGCTTCCTTAAAGGTGGGTAAAGCACATTACATTCACCATCTCTAGTAGTCTCAGAAAGTTTGGCCATAAAATGTAGATACCCTGAGCTCTTGCTGCCTGTGAACTGGCATCCTTAGGTCATCAGAAAATAGCATCTACCACTATAGTCCAGGAGGAGAAAAGCTGCTATGGAAACAGCAGATTGTATATCTCAAGAAAGTGAGGAAGATAACTTGAAAATTATAGCCTGGTGTGCTCGTTGCATGGAACCAAATAAAAATCAAAAAAAGTAAGCAGGGATTCAGAAAATGCACTGAGAAAAACAAGTCAGGAAATGCAGATATTTGTGGGATTGTAATTTTTACATGTGAATCAAGGTGGTCTCCAAAATGTAGTATTCCATTTGTAACACATCTGAAAAATCACAGATAAGTTGATTTTCAATAGACATTCATATTTAATAAAAACTTAGTTTCTAAAATTAAGCAAAATTTGCTTTTCTGAGTGGGCCCCTTAATCTTCAAATAACTCAGTGAAATAGACCCATCACATCCAACCCTAAGAAAAGCTTGCATGAGAGGAATCCTGCCATCCCCATTTTATAATGAGGTGGAAATTAACATGAAGGAGGCTACCCTGTGACAGACACTTAACAGTGCGCTCTAGGACCTGTGGTGATACATTCCTGATGAGGAATCAACCTCACAAATGAATTACTTTTCTGCTAATTCATGTAAAGCCCAATCGAATAGTGAAAATTCTCTTAAATAAATATTTGATAAGTGAATCAAATTCGGGCATACTAAATTGCCAAACTATAATGGCTGCAGCCTTTGATAAAAAGAATAATTGCTTTTAATGAATAAACCTGCCAAGTACTGATATGCAGAGTGGCACTTGCTCTTTGCTGCTGACTTCCTCCCCACAAATAGTAACTAAGTGTCACATACACCCCAATTTGTGCTGAGCCCTTCACTTACAGAGCACATCACTTCCAGAAAGAGGGACATACCATAAACTTTACAGTTTCTGCCTGACACTTTATTAAAAAAAAAAAAAGCAATAAGAAGAAACCCCTGAAACTGAGATTTTCTTCACAGTACATTTCCACTTGTATAAATACAGATGGTCACAGGTAGCTATCGGTGTTTACCCAGTCTGGCTAAACTAGGTTTGAACAACTACACATGCTACAAAGGTTTTCATTTTCCTGGGATCTGGGTGGAATACATCTGAAAAGCCATGCTGTCTGCATTGCSTATATTCAGGGGAGTTATAGARCAGCAGACTTGAAAGGGCCAATGAATTAGTCTGACCTTGTGAAAATGCAGATTYTGATTCAATTCCAGGGAGAAGCCAACAGTGGGCATTTCTAACAAACCCCTAGGAGACACGGGGCAGGGACGTGCCATTGAGGAGCAGTCAGTAAGCAAGGCCATTCGGACAGCTGTTCCCTTGAGAGCTTAGTTAAGATTCATGACCCATATGGAAAGCTCGGACTTGCATCCTRACCCCGTGTCATGTTCATCCCCCTCTCCCTGACCCAGTCAGTGGGGGTTCCTGGGTTTCCTAGTCTCTCCCCTAATAAGCAGGGGATTTTAGAGCAATCTCCAGGACAGGGCCTTTGCCTCTGCCTGTGTCACCCTTTTGGTGCAGTCGCACTGGTGCCATTGTCATTGGTGCTGGGCGTCAGTTCCTCTATTTGCTGCTCCATTTCACATCTGTGATTCAGGAGTAACAGCAATGCCTTCTCCGCCCGCATCTCAGAGTGTAAGAATTAGATGGACAGTGGTAGGAAAGAAGCAGGAAATGTAGAGGGGAGACCCTCCACACACATGTGTAGCTTTATTATTATAAATGATAAAGAGCAAACAGATTTAAAAAAAAAAAAAAAGGAGATTGCCATGCACAGACTCTGTCCCAATCTGTCACGTCAAAAAGCACATGCACTATGCTCCCTGACCACAGTGCTGCTCCTTAGTGCAGGGGCAACAGGAACAGGCCCAGGTCCCTTCTTGGGATACAAACATTTTTCAATTCATCTTCTTTGGATAGGCCCTCAAAAATCTCTTGAGGTACATATCCATAAAGACTTGCTCTTTTACCCAATTAAATTATTAACAGGGTCTCCAAAATTCTTACAGAGGGTCTCCTACAGTGGAAAATGTGTAGAGTCTCTGGGATAAAAAACTAAACTTGGAATTTGCAGTCATCAAAGTCCTCGTCCAAGTTAAATAAATATAAATGCAAGTTTGGAGAAACTTAATCTTACTTAGATGCAGGAACAAGCTGCTGACGTGCCCAGGGMAGGCAGCTGCCACTGGCAAGAGAAGGAGAATACAGAACCCGGGCCCTGTTATGTAGCTCCACTTCACGGATGTGCCCTCTTAGGTTTAAACCTCCAAGAGCAAGATTCCTTGAGTGGAACCTGTGTTCACTTTGAGGAATGCCAAGACCTTGCCCTGGCCCTGGGCTACATATGCACCCACACAGGCAGTCAGAAGCAAATAGATTTCCAGTGGAGCTGGAAGGCTGTGGACTCAAATCAGAAGACCAGTCTGACTCTGCAAGAAACGCTACCTTGCCTCCCTGCAGAAGTGAGACGTGCCTGTAATCATCTGAACAGTGGCTCTACCTGTGTAGTGCAGCTCTTCCCTGTAGCAGCTCAGACCTTGGGGAGACCTGACACTTCCTCACTTCCCCAGCACAGCAAGGGTCCTTCCTATGTTAGGCACTTTGGGTCATATCACAAACATACTTATGTCACCAGGAGTGTCTGTCCCCACATCCTCATTATGAACATTTTTGTGACATGGACTTTCCCCACTGTCTTTCCCATCCAGCCTGAGGGTGCCCACCKCCAAGTAAGAATACCCTGTGGTGGGAGGCACATTCTGATTCACCGGATCTGGGTCTCTCTGCACACAGTAGTCAGTCTTCTTTCTCTTTTTATCCACTTGGAGTTAAACACACATATTCATGAACAGGTACAATGAAGGCCTAGAAGTATATCTAATTAATAATTAACTGACCTCTTCATGGGAGGCTCTGCAGGGCTACCTGGCTCCCAGCTATTTCAACCTCCCCCTCCAATATCAGCTACATGGGTGGGCTTGGAACTCAGGGAAGAAGGTAGTTAGTGAGYTCGTTTTATTATTACCTTCCAACTTACTTGACTTGAAACCCTTTCTCTCTGCTCCTCCAAGTCCAAATGGGACAGGAATTTGGGAGAAATATTGAATGTATTCTAGTGAGAGCCGTGTCCCTCCAACTGACCTATAGTTGAATAGCACTGCAAATTAGTTTCAACTTTTTATAGTAGCACATCTTTCGTGCACAATGAAAAAGAGCGATGATCATCAGGAAATTCAAGTGCCAATATAGACTTTAAAATTTAATCTGGTGTGGATTTTAATAGTWCCAGATATGCTTTACTTAATTGTTTTTGATAAGTGCTGTCTCCTTCATCACAGTCAGATCAATCATTTGGGAACACGATTGAAAAGACATTTTAACACATTCTTTATTCCTATGAAAAACTTTTTACCTGGAACATACATTTTTGTGGTTATCTCAGTACCAGGAATTGTGGTCACATAGTTCCCTTCTTATAAATGAAGCATTAATTTTTTTTTCAATTATTTTTTAAAAGAACGTTAATATTTTCTTACTTAAACAAGACAAATGTATCACTCCTTTCAGTGGGAATCAAATGCAATGTTCATCAAGTTAGATTCCAAGATCTGTGACTCCCCAGTAAGACAACAGCCTGTTTAATTCTTGCAAAGACCTGTTCATCCCCTTCATCAGATCCTGAGTCTAAGCAGAAGTTTCAGGTACTTAGTCACATATGCAGTGGTACCACCCTGGAAGAATCCCTCAGTGATAACGACATGGTATCTCTCAGATTGTAGTTGAAATATGATTTGTCATCTATGGATGTAGACAAATAAGTGCTTAAAAGGCTTAAGAAGTTGTAAAGAAAGAAAAATACAAGGAATCTCAACTAACTCTGACCTTCATGCCCTGCCGTAGGGAGATCTGGGACTTTTCTTTGAAAAATGGGTCCTTGCTTCACTGTTTCTTAACTTCTCATTTTATTCAATCTTTCTCTCTTTTTTTTTTTTCTCTCTCTCTCTTCCTCTCTCACCCTCACTTTCTCTGTCTGTCTCTCTCCTGATTTGCCTGCTTAGGGACAGACAGGTAATGGAGAAGAAATTGAAAGGGAAAATACAGGGAAAATGTAAATGAAAAGAAGTTATTATAACTGTTATAATGAAGTGCCTTTCATTTAAATATAAGAATGTAACGCTGAAATGAACTTGTGATCCTGAAATGCATTTTTAATGAGTTTCCTTTTTATTTTGCTGCTTCAGTGGCATATTTTAAAGACCCTTTGAAAAAAGCCACATTAAAAACCCCACCAAATGCCACAACACGCAAAATTGGATATTGGTTTATTCCAAAACTGCTGATCAGGAAGAGTGGCTCTTCATCACAAAATGTTGCAGTCACTTTATTTAAATGAGTTTGAATTTGCATTGTGATGTGCCATTCTGATTTAGGGAAAAAAAATTAGATTTTCAGATCAAATTGACCCAGCCAGTGAAGCGTTAAGGAGCTGGCAGGTTTAGTCTGAAAGCCTCATGTTCTATCAAACCTGCAGCCGGTGGAAGTCACCGAGCCCCCGTGGGAAACAACTTTCTCGCTGCTGTCGTCGTCCTCTTGTCCCCACACTGAGTTTTGTAATCACCGGCTCTCCTCTCCTCATCCCAGGGGAACGGCCTTTCCAGTGCAACCAGTGTGGGGCCTCCTTCACCCAGAAAGGCAACCTGCTGCGGCACATCAAGCTGCACTCCGGGGAGAAGCCCTTCAAGTGCCACCTCTGTAACTACGCCTGCCGCCGGAGGGATGCCCTCACCGGTCACCTGAGGACGCATTCCGGTAGGTCTCCTGGGCTCAGGCCAGGAATGTCTGGTACCCCAGGCAAGGGGAGCCTCCACTGCAGTGGTGTGGGGCTCTAGGTCATGCATCGTGTACTTGGGAATTGTCCTTGCTGGCTGCCTTCCCGCCTGGCCCTATACACAGTCCTCCATGGCTACTGGCTGCCATGATTTCAGCATGGGCCTCAGTCCCTCACTTTCCACTGAAACAGAGGAAATGGGTAGGGAAAATCATAAACGCATGCATGCACACACACACACCCACACACACACACACACACACACACACACACACCAGGAAATGTCACCTCAGGTAGCATGTTTCAGAAGAGGCCTCCTTATTCCATTTTTTCAGGTAAGTGAGATTTCTACAAAGAATTTTTCCAGCTGTATCTTCACCAGGTGCACTGCTCATGCCCTAGATGTTTCCAAATACACTTTTTTTTTCTGTCTTACATGGAGTATTTTTAATAGCAGTAGGGACAGTTTTCTTTGCAGAGGTGACACATCCAAGTGGCTTAGGACATAACCCCACCAACCAAGGACATGCCCGCCCAAGTCCAAGAGTGATTCTTCATTGTCAGTGACCAGTCAGGGCCTCAGCAGGAGAGGGTAGTTTGGGACTTTCACCAGATTTTAGATTGCAGTATTTGTCTTTAAGTGTATCCCAAATTATTGGGAGTCTCAGGTCAATCATGATTAGCAGTTGTCCAAATACTCCTAACCTATATCACACAGGAAGTCTTTAGTTAGGTTAGATCTGCCTCCCGAGAAATCTTCCTGTGTGTTTCATTATCCGGCAGCTCTATCCTCTTAAAGATCAGGTTGTATGTTGCTTGCCTACAGTGTGTCTCCACATGACATGCATGGGTTTCTTCCACACTGTCCAGTAGGGATATGTGAGACAGACTTTGTGAACTGGAGGTTGATGGATCTTGTCCCTCCCTTTGGGAGTGTCTGGCCCCCACCAACCACCTCTTAGGCCATTTGCAGCAGCACTCTGGGCAGGTGCTATGGGGGAATGCCTTAGAACAGCTTTTCCCTGCTGTCCCAAGTAGCAAGATAAGGAGGATCCTCCCTCAAAGAAGGTGGGGACATGTGTTCTTTGCAAAAGACTCGCAGGGTTAAGGCCACCTCTTCCCAAATGTGACAAGTGTATTTCATGGTGCAGGTTTTAAGTACCTCTCCTCTGTCCATCTCTTTGTCTCACATTTACTGAGCCCCTCAGGGTGCTCAGTCTTCAAGGGGTTGCAGGTACACACAAGTAAAACACCCATGTCTCACAGGGGACATGGCAGAGCACATGAGGGCCCAGTGGAACAGAAGGCAAGAGGGTGGACAGTAGGTTGGGTAGGAGGGAGAGAATTCCAGTAGGGGGAGGGCTTGAATACCTGCCCAAGGCCCATTTCTGAGTTTCTTTAGGGGAGTTCTAAATGAGTGTGATTCTGCAGTGATCCTAGAATAACGTGTTTACACATTTTAGCAAGTATTGGCAAGAGCTTGGTCCTTCTGGTGAGTAGTCCCTGTGGGAAGGGCATTCACTGAGTCAGCTGGAGAAAAGGGTGAGGAGTCCCAGGCTGTGAGCCATCTCCTCTCTGTTCCCACCTCCTTCCTGGTAATGAGCATGCTAGAGGTTCCCAAAAAAAGCTTGTAATCCGAAAATTGTGATGATTTGGGTAAGTTTCTTGAAACCTGCCAAGAAAGGAGCAGTTTCCAGCAGAGGAGTTGCTCTCCTTAACAAAGTGGGCTGGTCAGGAGGGGCTGCCAATAGGRCTGCTACCTCCTCACCTGGAAGAGAAAATGCTCAGTCTAGGGAGTAGTTTGTTGCAGGGAAATAGGGAGAACAGAAGGCTTTCCTGAGACAGGGACCTGACTCCATGGCAGTGAGCACTTACCAGTGTTTACATGTGATGATCAGGTGTGGACCCTCCTGGAGGCGAGGTGGTGCCAGGGACAAACTGACAAATAAGGCCCCTGTAGGGTTCATCTGCGCATTCCACAGTACTGCATGCTGTGACCTAGCAGAAAGCAACTTCACGTCTATCATTTGCAAGGGGTCATACARGCACAGACACAGTTGACAGCAATAGTGCCCTCAGGTTTATAGGAGGCACCCCCTTCCCAAGTTGGTGGAAACCACAGACTCTGAGGCTGATAACAACCATATCCTCAGCATCTTGGGATCACTCTCATTTGYAATACAAATATCTCCTGCATATATCAGTCCTTAGAACTTCAAATGATGACTCTCTCTTTTCTCTCCTGTGAAACGAGGAAAATCTAGTGCATATTGTATGTTATTCTGGCTCCATGCCTGCTTACTTCATTCAGGAAGTCTCTGAGTAATTATGTATAACAGGTGGAAGACTTTCAATTAATTATRTTATGATTCCATCAAAGAGTTAATGGAGAAAGCTGTCCTAGATTCAGTGACACTGGTGATTCTACTGTCTGAAAGTGACTTTGGCACGGAGTTCTTGAAAAAAAAAAAAAGCAGTAATTTTAGATTCTTCAAAAAGATTTCACGGAACAAAATTTATCTGGCAAACTCAAAAGTAGCCACATTGTATTCTCTTGTAGAATGTCTATGCCCCTCATTCTATTAAAAGCCAGAATCATCCACACAGTTATTCCTAGCAACCAGTGGTAACCAGAAGTTTCAGATGCCAACACGTTAGTTATAGAATTTTTAGAGCTGTAGAATTCGTCCCATGCTCATATCAAGAGAAGTTTGGGGAATCARGAGGGATAAGGGTACAGTCCCCTTCTTCACTCCTTATTTGAAAGTTGCAAGGTTTATTAGAAGACTTTCTTTGTTCCTGGAGATATATTTCAGTTGCTTACAGTGATCATTTTTCATATTCCAGAGTAAAAATCACTCATATACTCAGAAAAATGGATACCTAGACACCATGCCATTTATACAGGAGGAAATTTTGATAATATAATTCACCAATGGTATAGATTTTCCAGGAAGGAACATAGATTATTATCTGTATCCTATTAATTTCTAAGATAGTACTCAATAAAATTTCCTTTTAAGCAACATTCCATATTTCATCATTATTTCTTAATGTTGGGGGACACATCACTTTCTATAGATAAAGAAAGATCCCTGTTATCTCTACTGAATGTTCCCCAAGACAAATTTTGGTTTTCATATTTCTCTTCTTTAATCATAGCATCGTTTTACCCAGGAAAAAGATTGGATTAACATATACATTGGTTAAACCAGTTATCAAACAAGTATTCCTGAATACTTTGAAATATGTTAAATCAAATAGAGAAAGAAAGAAGATCCTATCCTGGTGTTAGGGTAGAAATTTATATTTCTTAAGGATTAAATAAATATTGGCTATTTTATCTTTAAAAATGGTTTCTATCAAAGTCTTTAAATAGGCATGATATGGTTTCCTTGCTAGTCTTCTTTTCCCAAAATGCCMCTCACTAAAATCCAAGAAGGGCTAAATTCATTTCATAACATCACTGCCCAACACACTAGCTATTAACCATAAGTAGTCTTCTAATTTTAGCAATATAAAATTAAACAAAATTAAAACTTCTATCATCTTTGTCACAAGCCAGAATTCAGACCTTTAATAGCCACATGAGCTATGGCTACCATGTTTTGACKGCCATGTAGAAAACATTTCCATAATCCTGAATATATCAAACAGGGCTGGTCTCAAACCTACATTATCCTAATGCTCTATGGTGAGAAAACAGTAAACTCAGTTCATGGAAAATATAGCAGGTGTTGTGTGTATCCTTATATAAAATATTTTGTATAGATAATGCAAGTTAAAATATATTTGCATTATGTAATAAAATGCAATCTAGAAATATAATGATCATTTCATTGAAGCATAAATTTATCCAGTTTAGCCTCCTGAATTAAAATTCACCCCTAGTCACATTAGATGTAGCCCCTATGTTGCACCAGACCTGGCCTACATCATAGAATGGGACAGGAAGCCTTTGTCTGGGGGTGAATCATAGATTACCCAGCCTTCCTCATTTTTTTTTTTTGTCCAGCTATTTGGCATCCACATTATAACATTCCAGTGGTTTGATTTTTTCCAGTTAAAAGACAGGTGTCAGCAATTCGTGGAGGAGAGAATTTGATAGTCAATACAATAGACAAATTAAGAAGAAACATGAATCACATGAGTTCTTGGTACAGTCAAGTACTTCCCTGCACATTAACATTTTTAAGTTCAATAATTTTTGACTGAGTCCATAATGCTTTTAGCTCTCAAGAGTAGAATTTTTTTTTTTACTTTTTTTTTTTTTTTGATAAGAATTGTATTGCATGCATTGCCAAGACACAGAAGGCCAGCATTTAATTGGGGTCTTGAACTCAATTGTGTTTTCTGCAGTTGGTAAGCCTCACAAATGTGGATATTGTGGCCGAAGCTATAAACAGCGAAGCTCTTTAGAGGAACATAAAGAGCGCTGCCACAACTACTTGGAAAGCATGGGCCTTCCAGGCACGCTGTACCCAGGTAAGCGCTGAAGCTCCGAGGCTGGACGTGATCTCTCTCCCTCCCAGCACTGTGCATGAATGGCCCTAGGAGCAGAGCTGTAGGCCTGCTCCCCACCATGGCTGAAAGGGAACTTTTTGACCAATAACATTGCAATTTCACTAGGAGCATGTTCTTCTTCTCCACTTCTCATGTCTGACCAGATAGAGTTTGTCTTAAAACACCCTCCCTGTTCAAATCTGTAGAAACACCTAAAACATTAGTGGCTCATGAAAATTTTTGGTTTTTTTAGGTGTTGATTTGTGCTAATTTTTTTTTGTTTTTGTTTTTGTTTTTGTTTTGTTTTGTTTTGTGGTTTTGACTTCTTTTTTTCAAATCTGGAGTCGCGGGCAGGGGCTGTAGATCTGTGATAAAGTGCTTGCCTAGCATGCATGAGGTCCTAGGGTCGATCCTTAGCACAGCAAAAAAACGAAAGCACAGAAAAGTCTAGAGTAATAATTGTTTCTTTGTACTTAATAATTGGAACAAGTTATGAAATCTGGCTTTAAATCTATTTTTTGTTAAATTGATCAAATATGGACTTCCAGACTGTGATTTCCATCATATCACTTCCAACCTATAATTTCCTTCATGGGTTCGGATTAAGGGCAGAGTATCCACATCTGCCAGGAATGTGAGGGCAAAGCTCATTGGTAGACCCTGACAGTCAGTAGTATTGAAGCTGTCAAGGAAGTAGAGGAAGTTGAATTTGTCTCCTGAACTGTGTTATATATCTTGCATAACGACATACCTTRATTCAAGTCTTTAGATAATGCAAAGTGAAAGATGTAAGGAAAGTGCTGAAGAAGGCTGATTTACTCAGAGGAGTGGCAGTGTTATAAAAGGTTCTCTTCTGACTTCATAAGAGATTAGAGATTTATAAATAGATCAAATGAAGTTAAGCTCTTTCAAAACACTATTCATTTAGTAATCATTAGATTATAGGGTAGAAATCAAATTAATGGTTACAAATTTTCTAAGCCTCACTCAATGTTATGACAATTAGTTTATAAAAGAAAATTCATCAGAGTACACTCAGATTATTAATGGCAGATGAGAGCAGAAGAAAAGAATGGTCAGAAGTCCTAATTCGGATTAGTCTTGGCATCGACTTATCACATGGCAAGAGATGGTGTGGTCTAGTGTGGTCCCTCTTATTGATCTGCTGTGGACCTGAGGCCCATGATTTCTCTRGGCCTCAGTCTTTTCACCTGTGAAATGGAAAAATTCTATGACATTATCATTTACCTTTATTCAAAATCTAAGGTCTAGGTTGGAGAGGCATTGAGAGTGGGTGGAAAATGAGACACTGAATGGAAAAATAATAATAATTTAATGGTAATTTAACAATTATCAATTTTTGGCCAGCCCTAAGATAGAAGAATGGGGGAAGAGAATATAATTTTTTAATAAAATGTGAATACTCAGATACTTTATTTTTCTGTAAAAAATATTAATTAATGGGTTCTAGAAACAAGTGGTCCTAATGATGTAATTTATACACTAATGTTTAGTAAGCCATTTTATACACTCAACAAATATTTACTGAGGATTTATTAACTGCAATACCAAGCTCTGTTGAATGAAATAATCTGATATAGACATAGATCTAAGACAAAACCAGTGGAATAAACAGACCTAGTGCATAGTGTTGTCTCTTTCTTCCACCCTTTTCATTGCTAAAGAAACAAGCTGTCACCTACAGCAGCCTGTGAGCTGTTTTTCAGGAGAGAAACAACTGTCATTTCACGAGACCCAGGATTGAGTTTCATTGCTGAATCTGTTTCTTAATGCAATCCGGATATGTTAGTCAACTTTCCGTTGCTGTGACAAAACACTTAAGAAAATCAGCTGAAAGGAGGAAAGATTTATTTTGGCTTGCTGTTTCATAGGTTTCAGTCCATGGTCATTTTGCCCCTATTGCTTTGGGCCCATGATAGGACAGAACATCATGGCAGAGAGCCCATGGTAGAGCAGAGCTGTCCACCTCACGGCAACCAGGGAACTAGAAGATAGAGGAAGAGGTTAGGGACAAGATGTCGGCTTCAAGGGCATACCTCACCACTCCTGGTGACCTGCTGCCTCCAACTAGGCCCCAGCTTTTAAAGTTTCCACCATCTCCCAATAGTTTCACCTGGGGACCAAGCTTTCCACACATGAGCCTTTGGGAAACATCACATCACCAGGCCTCATCTTTTGAATGTGAGTGACAGTGCCTGTCTGGTCATCCTCAAAATAGTGTCCCGAGAGAAGCACAAGAGAACATGTAGACATGAGAACAAGCAGCCTAAATGTCAGGTGGTCAGGTAATGGGGAACAATACAGTAATGTCCTCATGTCCCTCTTCTCAATAGATGTGAAGGCTCCTCTAGAAAGATGCAGTCATCTGATCTCAATGTGGCCACAGACAGAGCCAGCTGTGCTAGCATTTAATGACATTGAGGTTTTCCTGCCTTTTGTTAAAGATGTGCAGCCAAGATTTAAATACCTTTAGCCAGTATGTGTGTATATGAGCTTTCTGACACCTGTTGCAATTTCCTAATATCTTGATATATCAAATAAAGTGTCAGAAGTAATCAATGTACAAAGACAAAAGTTCGGGTCTTGCATTTTTGTGTCTTCCAGTCAGTCATTGGTTGGCCTCATGCTTGGGACCTATGGCAAAGTAGCAAATCATGACATCACCATGAGCCAGGGGAGCAGGGAAGAAAGGGTCTGGAGCCCCACAGTGCCCTTTGAGGGCATGTCCCTAGTGACCTAAGGCTCACTTAAGACCCTACCTCCCACCAGTGTCACCCTGGGGACTCATAGTCTTTAACAGTGTGCCTTTGGGCAGCCAAAGATAGCTTGATTTTTACCATTGTTGACACCTATCCCTTGCAGGCATACAGTAAGTGCTAGTTTAAGGAACTTTCAGCATTGAGAGGATCCATCAAAAGAACTTTCATGAAAGTTAAATGCTAGACTACGTGCAGGACTGGGAGGGCAGGGGAGTTCCTGGGTCTTGGTCATGTCAGCTGGGTTGTGCCAGGGCCAGTTGAACCTGCACCTTCTTTGGCTTTTCCCCTCTCTTGTCCCCCACATCCCTCAGAGACCAGCCCTCATCAGTGCTCAGAGGGACTGTTGAGTAATCTCTTGGCTCCCCAGCCCCTTTTCAGCTGGGTCCATTAAGTAAATACAATGCCTAGTTTAAAGAATGTAGAGTAAGATTTATTTTTCTGACTATAATTTTCCTTAGTAAAAGGCTTTTGGTCACCTGTTGCAATTTCCTAATATCTTTATGGAAAAAAAAATAAGTGTTTCTTGAACCTCAAGAACACAAATTGAGGAGTAAGTAAGGATGATGTAGCTAGAGATTCTAGAGCTTTAGGTTCACGTTTCCCTTACTKCGGTCAGTTCTGGGGGTCAAAGCCTGTGGTATGGTGGGGAGAAATCCCATGTGAGGTGTGAGGGCATTGCAGACTGGTCACTGGGCCTGTTTTACAGAGGAGGATCATTTAAATGAGCATGTTAATTAGATAGGTGAAGTATAAAATGGGTAGCATTGGGTTTTATGGATTTATGTATATCCTTCCTATAAATTGGGGTGTGGGCTATACACCCTGACTTATTTGATTCACAGATTTACACTGTTAGAAAATGACATAAATACATCAGCAATATCATCCAAAACATGGATTTTTGAAGTAGTGTTCATAATACCAATAAAGACATAAAATACTTGAGAATCCTTGTAGCAAAGAAAGTGACCAAACCACAACAAGGCAAGAAAGAGTGTGGAAGATTGCAGAGGGACAGCAGTGTGGATACTATCCATGGACATCCTCCTAAATAAAGGCATGGTTTTAATATAAAATTGCTTTGTAAATCTTGTTGGAATTAGGTAACCACATATGAATCTGGAAAAAAAATCAATGAGAGAATTGGCAAGTCTAGCATTATATGAAAATGTGGCTATAATGTGTAGAACTCTTTGAAGAATATACAGGTAAATCAATATTAGAAATGAATACACCTAAAGACCTTGTGATAATCAACACAAAGTACCTGAGAAGGAGCATAAAGCAGAATGGGTGTTGGGGGAATTGATTAGATACGTGGAAGGTGGGCAGTTTATATTTTCCTTAAACATTGGGATAAATTTCAGGGACATGAAAGAGTTGTATTTCAAAAATCCCAGCCATAAAAACTAGAAGTCAATAGATGCTATTATGCAGGATGCAAAGCTGTATCTTCAATTATGAAAAGAGGTAATATAGAAAAAGAGAGATGGACTAGAAAAAGCCTTCATTTGCATTTACCTTCAAGATTTCTGTCTTCAAAGTGTGCAGATGTTATTTGACTACCAAGAGTCTGCTCTGTGTTCAGGGATAAGGAGGTCTGGGTTCTGCCCCCACCTTGCCAAGATGTGCCAAAGGATCCCAAATGGCCATGTTCCTGCATCTTAGTTCTCTGTGCCAGTCAGTGGAGTCAGAGTCCTAAGTCTTTCCTAGATCGGAAAGTTCTTTGATTCTCAGAGGGCTATTGTTAGGATGGATTGAGGTTGTGGATTTGTATTTTGAAAGGTTAGAAGGACTCTTCAGAGGGACACAGTTACCTAATCTAGGCCCAGCCCTGGGTGATGGTGGTGGTACTTATTCTTTTGGTCTTGGGGATAAGGTGTGGTCATAGGAAGGAGCATGAGCAGGTGGCTGGTCTTTGACATTGTTATAGCCAAGTCTCTGTCTGTCTGGCAGGGTTACTGGGAAGATTAGTCATAATCATAATTAGGAACGTCCTGACTCTCTTAGGCACTTAACAAATGTCAGATGTAACACTGGACACGACAGACTCCTTTAAATCTAAGCCTTTCTAAACTGGCCTCTCTAACTGTCTTTGACTTTAGTCATTAAAGAAGAAACTAATCACAGTGAGATGGCAGAAGACCTGTGCAAGATAGGATCAGAGAGATCCCTCGTGCTGGACAGACTAGCAAGTAACGTCGCCAGACGTAAGAGCTCTATGCCTCAGAAATTCCTTGGTAAGAGTTAAAATGTTTGCTCTCTCTTAAAAAAATAACTATGTGGGTATTGTAGACTCCAGAGAAAATTAGTTGAGGGTAGGAGAAAGGGAAAAAAATCTTAGTTTTTGAAAAGCAAAAAGTGGTAAGCTTAATATGTCTTAGAAATTTTTTCCAATACGTTTCTTTATATTGACCTCCCTCTCCCACCAGTTTTTCTTAGATGTGATTTTGCAAGCATCTAGGGCCCTTGGTGTGATCTGCCTGTGGTCACTGTCTCTCTGAGGGTGACCAGGTTAGTATGACCAGGATCAAGAGCCTGGAGGCCCATCACACAGTGAGACCCCCTCATGCCTGAACACCCTCTTTGAGCTTCAGATTTCCACTTTTCACAAGAAGCCCATAGTGCTCCCCTTAGGCGGGGGACCATGAGAGTTAATAAGAGGAATCTCACAGCAACTGGCCCCTGAGAGGTGCCTAGTGAAAGGGAGATACAACTAGGACTATTATTTTGAGCATTCATTCCTTAAGAGGAAGAAAAATGCAGAGTGAGGCTCCTCTTCCTTGAGAAGTTATTGCGTAGTGTAGACGATAGAAAGATACATCCATACCTGTCATCCAGGCTGGATACTGGAAGGGCAAGGAGGACATTGAAGCAGTTGCCCCAGTGGCATTCATTAGGATCAGAGACCAGCCTAAGGTCAGTGCAGGGCTACTCATTAACCCTGTGGCCTCAGAAAATGACTCAGCCTCCCCAAGCCTTGGTTCTTTTTTTTTWAAATATTTTTTTTAGATGTTGATGAACRTTTATTTAATTCATTTGTTTATGTGCAGTGCCAGGTATCGAACCCAGTGCCTCACACATGCTAGGCAAGTGCTCTACCACTGAGCTACAACCCCAGTCCCTTGGTTCTATTTTTATGTGACCCACAGAGTTATTGTGCACATAGCATGACCCCAAGGATGTGAGAAGGTTTAGAAATCCTCTCAACTATTATCCTGGAAAGAGTCATGTCCAGGAAAGATGACCAGTAGAAGCTTCATGAAGCTGAGAGGGATGTGAGAGAGAGGAGTAGGATTTCAGCACATTATAGAATTTGGAAGAGTCSGGCAGGGTTCTAGACAGACAGATAAAGATAAGGAAATGGCAGTGGTGGAGGGGGAGGGAGTGGGGTTCGTGGGTCATGATGGAGGAGCAGGCGTGTTTCTGCCTTAGTTCATGTACCCAGGAAGCAATGAAAGTGAAGTTGTCCCAGAAGGCTCTGGCCACGTGATGAACGGCCTTTGCATGCCAATGTGAGAGATGTGCTCTCTTTCAGAAGGCAGGAAAAGCATGGACGTGTTTTTAATAGGAGCTTGAGAAGGAGAGGCAGCAAGGACCAGAAATGGATTGGAAAAGGGAAAGTGAGGGAGTGATGGCATCAACAGAGACAGGAGGGAGGTTTGGTGAAAGAGAAATGGAAGGTCAGGGCAGGGATTTGGTGAAGGAAACAGTGGGTTTCACTGTCTAGAGTAGAGTAGTATACCATTTGCAGGAAAGATAAATCCAGATGCTAGAATGAGAGGGAATTCTAGTTTTATGTGCTAATTTTCAAGGGCCACGTTCAGTGAGTGGCCCACGAGAGATTGTTGCTGAGAGAGGGGATGGAGCTAGAAGAGTAGTTAATGAAGACTGGGGCCCCAGAGGGCACTGCAGGAAGAAGAAAAGGATAGAGGGGAGGTAAAATTCTTGGGCATCAGCCTCCTTCATGCAGCTTCAAATAGGGTTCCATTTTATTTGGGAGGAGTATTGGGGATTGAACTCGACCCTGAGCAACATCCCCTATTTTGTATTTTTATTTAAGATAGGGTCTCAGCGAGTTGCTTAGTGCCTCGCTGTTGCTGAGGCTGGCTTTGAATTCAAGATCCTCCTGCCTCAGCCTACCAAGGTGGTGGGATTACAGGTGTGCGTCACCACACCCTGCTTAGGATTCCATTTTGATCTGTTGATTAAATAGAGGTTTGTCATAAAATTGGCGGTTGGGAGAACAGGGCAGGAAAATATTCATTTTAAAAATAAGTAAATGAGTAAAAATTCTACCTGGAGACACCTTGTGGGATGATGTAATTGTGAGCTGTATGACTGTGAGAGGAAGGGAGACTCTTCATTTCTTGAGCAGAGTAGGAGCAGGGTGCTGGGCTGAATGAGGTAAGCTGTTAGAGTGAATGAGATTTCTGTAGCACCAGGTGCAGGGTCCCCAGCTCCTTCCCTGGGCAGGAAGCACCACTGAGAGGCTCCTGACATARGCCGTGAGCAAGGGTTTGATGGAGCAACCCGGAAGATGGGCAGAGAGGAAGCAGCAAGTGTGTCCAAGGGTTGTGAAGAGTTACTGACCCTGGGAAGTAGAATATGACTTCCTCTTTCAATTTAGGGACCTGGAGAATGCCATATGATCTAATAAGTGCACAACTGCTTTAGCTTTTGGAGACATCAAATCAATTGGAACATCTGTGAAATTCTACCGTAGCCACCCCAGTGAGACCAGTGTGGATGTTGTCCTGATTCACATACCTCTCTATTCAAAGGATGAAACAAAATGAGACCAAAAAGAAGAAGGAAAAAAAAAAGTACTCTAAGGGAGCAAAGCTCAGATGAGAGTGAATGTTTCAGGGGAAAGGTTAACACAGGAGGAAGAAGCATCATGGGAACAGCTGGACCAGGGTAGCAGAAGCAGAGTCTGGAAGGAAGGCCTCACAGCTTCTCTGGCTTCTCTTGTTTTCCTGGGACTTGGTGATTGGCAGTTCAAGTCTGAAACTGTGCTTCTTGCGCATTGCCATCAACTCTTCCTAACTTGTCACAGATTCTCCATCTCTAAAATGAAAAGGGAGATGGATCTCAAGGATCCCTTCTTTACCTCTAGAATGCTGTTTGTCCTTCAGGTAAACTGAGGAGGGTAGGAATCCAGCTGTTTATTACCTGCTGGTCCAGCAATGGTGCAGTTGCAAGAGCTCTGGTCCAGTTGCTCCAGGGTACAGGTCCAGCTGTGCCTGCCAGGTGACCGGAAGCTGGTCTTGAGCAGTCTTAAATTTGGTGTCACCATCTCTGAAATGGGGTGGGTCTGCATCCCTTCCCCCTCCCCAGAGCAGTTTTGAGGATCGTCAGGGATACGACATGGGGCAGTGCTTTCAACACCAGAAAGCACATTGAAAAGGTTAAGATGGTATTATTTTCATGTTGAATATTGCTCAGAATAATAAAGTTGAAATTATTGATATAGGAGCTATGACTAAAAATTTTAAATCAAATCTTGGCAGAGTATGAAGAAGTATTTGTTTTGCTAGCAACATTCCTCACTATTATATCCATCAAAGATCCCGCCTTCTAAGATCATCTGAAATGGCCAATAGGATCAGTGAATCCAGTGAGGAAAAAGAGTTTATATTAAATAGTGGTGCTCATTCTTTTCTTTTTTTTTTTTCTCTTAAGTCTGTATGGTGATTGGGATGGGAACATTTTTAAAATGTAAAAATCACAAAGAGGAAAATAATGATGATCAATATTCCTGCTAACCTTTATAAACTATCCTGGCATATTTTCTTTTTTACAAGAAGAAGACACCCTGTTGTATTATTAAAATGGTAAATGGTTACAGTAAAAAAAATGATGCAAAGATTAATGTCTTTAAATCACCACAAAACCCAACATCCACAAATTACCAATATTAAATATTTTTCTCTCTCCTATATATAAGTCAATAAGGTGATGAATAGGTGGATCAAGATAGATGTGAAATAAATACCTTCATAAAGACTCTATCATGTTAAACACATTTTAAATTTAAGAGATGATAAAGAACCCAGATAAAACTGGAGGACTGACTGATCTTCAATTAGTCAGATGGGAATATCATTTTTTAAAGGATTACTCTAAGATTAAATATTTATTATGGCTGGGCATAGGGGTGTACACCTCTAATTCCAGCAACTTGGGAGGCTGAGGCAAGAGGATCAGAATTTGGAGACCAGCCTGGGCAACTTAGCAAGATCCCATCTCAAAATAAAAAAAAAAAAAATAGAAAAGGGCAGGAGATGAGGCTCAGTCCCCAGTTCTGTGTGTGTGTGTGTGTGTGTGTGTGTGTGTGTGTGTGTGTGTGTGTCCTGCACTTGGACTCTCTCTGAGAAATAAGGATATTATTCCACTTTCCAATGTTCACAGTTTTTACATTGTCCAACCTCAAAATATTTACATCCTGCTCTTATAATCATTACCGACACAGTAGTTTGGCTATTTATTACCATCTGTATATTTAAACAGATTCAAGAATCAGGTCCAGTCCTTTTGCCACTATTTCTCTTTATTTCAGTTAATCTCTTCATGGAGTGGACTTGACATTCAACCAACCTTTTGGGAAAGGTTCCACAGCTAATCCATTCCCTCCATCACTGTGTATGAGAATGTCCGCCTGTCACCCCTGTACCAGGAGAGCATCCTGACGGACCTTGGTGGCGCTTCCTTTTTTCTTGGGGAACTCTTCCTCTTTTCTCTGAGAATTCTAGATCATGCCATGTTGACATTACTTGTTGAATATTGCTATGGAGACCTCTTAAGTCCAGTATCCTTTTTTTTTCTTTATAGCAATTTTCATTTTTCCCTAAATGTCTTGAGAGCTCTTTCTTTACTAAAGTCACATGCCATAACTGGGATGCATTCTGGTGTTTTGCATCCAAGTAAAAATTTTCTACCATTTTAATTTGAAGTTTCCCTCTTTCTCTCTTTATTTCTTAGCAATACACTTTTATGTATCTTTTGTTTATTTGTTATGACCTCTAGTTAGGGATCCAGTTATCCATATATTGAATAATTTGTCTTCCATATCTGTTAGCATATCCTTAAATTTTATTTTTATTTCTTTGTCTTTAAATATTTACTCACTGTTATTACCTTGTGTTTTCCCTTTAAGTCAATAATTCAATTTTTAGCACATTTTGTTTTATTAACTTGCTGTTTCTTATTCATCTACTAAATGKATAATAATACTGATTTGGACTTCACTGTCCCAATCTGAAGTCCATTCTTTTTTTTCCCTTTTTCCTTCCATTCTTTCCCTTTTTTCCTTTTATTCTGTTCATTTTGAATGTTAAAACTCAATTTTTAAACATTGACTTCATGTCATGAAGCAATTATGAGGTATTTCATCTCCTTGAATTAGGTTTTTGTTCCCTAGGATGGACTTGATTTGTTTTACTTTCTTTCTTCCCTTGTATTGCTAGAAAATATTTTCATGGTAACCCTGACATTCCTTTTCATCTCACTTATTCTACTTGGTCTGATATAACTTGATTGATGTTTCAACGTTCTTCCCATTGTATCTGAGACTTTTTTTTTTCCTTTGAGAGCTATCGACATTTTTAAATCCTGAAAAAATGCCAAGGATGGGGTTGGGGGAGTTCAGGTGAGGCAAAGTGCTGCCTTTGTTAGAAGATGTTCCCTTGGCTTACTCTCTCTTGTTTTGAGATCTGGTTAAATTCCCTAAACCAGCAGCACTATAGTGCTTCCTGTCCCCACAGGGGACACTTTGGGGGCTTGGGGCCATCTTCTCCAGCAGCCTAAATCATTAATGTCTTYCTTCTGTCCAAGGGAACCAGCCTATCTGCTTACTTCTCCAGTGTCATCTGGTTCTTGCTAACAGAGGGTTCAACAGTTCTTGATCAGAAGAGGAAACAGATGCTTATTTGAATCGTTTCTGTGTAAATATAAGGATATTAGGGAAAATGCTGAACATGTGGTTTGATTAATACCTAAGCATTTCAGAAATGAGATTAGAAGCCGAGCTTTTCCTCTATCTCATGCAAGAATTTTTTTTTCCCTTGGAGAGAAGAGAGAGATCTCATAAATTTTGAGATCTTTTTATTTAGCTGAGGGTTGTTGGTAAATTTCACTGGTTTTTATGTTTCTCCTTGTGTTGGATATTAAGGAAGAGTAATTCCATGGGTAGCTTCAATATGCCATGATACCTGGAATATAGGGTTTTTTTTTCCTATACCCATTTGTTGTTGATACCAAGTCTTTAAAACAACAGACTTCAGTGATTACTTAGGTAACCAGAGAACCACAACTTTGGGGAGAAACAAGATGTTTCCGTGAGAAAGCACCAATTTTGGTGTGGCTACACACTTACATTTAGCAGAATTGAGTACCAAGCCCACTCCCTTCCTCTCTTTGCCAAGATTTGTTGAGAGGATAGACTTGGGTACACACCAGAGTAAGTTCATTCTATWCTAGAGTTAGTGGAACAAGGCATATAGAACCTCAACACAAAAAAACAAGAAATGTGCATTGTTTTAGGACTGCTATACAATTATGTCTAACCTTGGATGAAGGGAAATACCACTTCTTTGGTCCCTACCATTAACTGCCAAAAAAATTTCATTTTATCCAGTTTCTGAGGGAGTATCACTGGCCACAGACAAGTTTTCTTTCTGTAGGATCACATTGTATGTTATCAGGGCATGTGCCACTTCTGACCACCAATAGAGGGTAACAAATGAAACCAAGTTGTTACATGATGCATGTCCATTAAGAATAAGGAATGCAACCCAAGGAGACTTCTTAGTACGATAGGGCATATATTCCTGGTCACTCCTTAATGGTCACAGACTGTTTAAAGGACTATTTGTAAATTTACAAGCTAGTAAGGAGTAGCTCAGGTGAAGGTGAGAACTACRGGTAAAATGGGGGGCATACTGGGATCCTAATCTCCCACCACCCTTACTAGCTACCATCACCCATAACCCAGACACTGAGGAGAGTCCTGGTCACCACCTCACTTGTATCTATGAAGTCTGTTCTCTCCACAGTGACTGGAAAGTCCACTTCTTCCTTCAGACCCTTCAATGGTTTCTGTTTTACTTTGGATGGTCTCTATTTTGTCTGGCAGACCCTGCCTCTCCTGCCTACCACTCTGATACCACGCCTGCACCCAGGACTCTGGCTCCCAGACCTTCACTGGGTCTCATCAAAGCTCCAGGCCCCTTCTTTCCTCCCTTCCCTCTGGCTGTCCCAGTGCCAAGACACAAAAGCTCACTCAGCTGGCTGCCTCTTATGAGATAAGAATTCTGAATCAAACATGGTGGTGCATGCCTRTAATCCCAGCAATTCAGGAAGCTGAAGCAGGAGGGTTGCGAGTTCAAACCCAGCCTCAGCAAATTAGCGAGGCCCTAAACAACTCAGGGAGACCCTGTCTCTAATAAAATATGAAAGGCCGGRGGATGTGGCTCAGTGGTTAACCGCCCCTAGGTTCAATMCCTGGTACCAAACAAAAGGAAAAGAGTCATGAGTTATACTTCCATGGCAAGCCTTCCTTTAGGGATGAATTATTTGGACCATCATGCTTTAATGTGTATGCCACTTGCTCTCTGTGTGCTGCTGAGGACAGGCAACATTTTCACTTCCTCACCTTTCATCCCTACCGGGCACTCAGATGCATTGAAGAAAGGAAGGAGACAGAATGAAGAATAAAATGAAAAGAGCTCAGACATTGCCATAGGTGGCCTCATGTGATCTGACTTACTCATTTACCATCACTGGATGTAACCCAAGTCAGTGGTCCTGGCAATAAGAGTGCAAAAGTGTTGCTTTAATCAATGAATTGGCTAATTAAGCCATGATTTCATACTGGACTTAAAAAACAATATATTGAAAAGGTGTGTCTTTAATTTTATCTCATTATTAGACTGTATACTCCAAAGCTTATTACATGAAGTTAAATCTAGTCTCAGATTTCACAATTACCAGGGGAAGTGAACTTGCATTAGTCAGTTCCCCATCATTATAATGAAATTCTTGAGATAATCAAGTTATAAAGATAAAAGGTTTATTTTGACCCACAGTTTTGGAGGTTCTGTTTCAAGATTGATTGGCCCCTCTGCTTTGGGTCTATGGAGAGGTTCAAGATAGGAGCACTTAGCARAGAAAATCCACTCACCTCATGATCAGGAAGTAAAAGGACAGGAGAGGGCTTGGATCCCTCTATTCCTTTCAAAGGCCTCTCCCCACACCAGTGGTCTGTGATTCTCCTACTAGGCTCCACCTCTTTTTTTGTGTGGTGGGGGGGTGGGGAGCGCCAGGGATTGAACTCAAGGGTGCTCGACCCCAGACCTATTATTTTATTTAGATACAGGGTCTCATTGACTTGCTTAAGGCCTTGCTTTTGTTGAGGCTGGCTTTGAACTGGAGATCCAAACCACTGGGATTATGGGCTTACACCACTGACCAGGCTAGGCTCTACCTCTTAAAGGTGCACCCACCTCTCAATAATGCTATACTGGGAACTAATCCTTTAACACATGGGCCTTTGTGGACATTCAAGATCAAGAGTATAGCAGAGTTCATCTACTCCTACAAACCAATGATATGACATCATAAGTTCCTAGAGATCAAGGCCCAATAACCACTGAGTTCTCAGCAGTAGTTCCCTGTACATCAGGAGGACTCGGTACATATTTAAAGAATAAATGAAAGACATGCTATTCTCCCCTGCAACTTCCTCAGTTCACCTCCTACTTTCTACCACATGTTTCTGCTGCACAGTGTTTCACTGCTGYTGACTGTGAAAGAAGAAGGATGCAGAGAATGATTAGTCTTTTTTTTAATAGTTGTAGATGGACACAATATACCTTTATTTTATTTTTTATGTGGTACTGCGGATCTAACCCAGTACCTTCCACATGCAAGGCAAGCACTCTACCACTGAGCTACAACCCCAGCCCCAGAAGGATTAGTCTTAAGTATCCTTTCTACTCATCACAGGTTGGAGCCCACTTTCCTTTGCGTTATTTATAAGACATGTATAACTTTATTATAAATAATATTCAATCRCTGTGTATTTAATTACATTTTATTCTAGATTATTAAACGTATGAATTTAATATGCAGAATACTGTTTTAAATAATTATTGCATATGATGAATAAATCATTATTATGTATTTTGAACACATTTATGATAAAGTTATTATAAATCACTTAGAATTCTCTACTAAAGACACATCATTTAAAAGATTGATTTTAAATTAAACATAATGTTTAATTTTAGGTTTAATGAAAGAGACAAGTATTAGTTTAGTCTATTGAAATGTGCAGTTTAAATTGACACAGATAGTCTTTGGTTCCTTTATTCATTTATGGATTTTTCCTGCCAGATTTCTTTTAAGTGCCGACTATGGTAGGACCCTGAGGGAGATGTCCAACAGGCAGATGCTTCACTCAGCCTCCCCTCCTCTGGTGATGGTGTGTTTGGCCGGGCCTAGCAGGTAGTCCACCCCTCCAACACTCCAGGTGTGGCGCTCGCTCACTGTCACCTACTTTCCACAGGGGAAAAGTGCYTGTCAGAAATGCCCTACGACAGCAGTACCAGCTATGAGAAGGAGAACGAGATGATGACSTCCCACGTGATGGACCAGGCCATCAACAATGCCATCAACTACCTGGGGGCCGAGTCCCTGCGCCCCTTGGTGCAGACACCTCCGGGGGGCTCGGAGGTGGTCCCCGTCATCAGCCCCATGTACCAGCTGCACAAGCCCCCCTCGGAGGGCCCCCCGAGGTCTAACCACTCTGCTCAGGACAGTGCCGTGGAGAACTTGCTGCTGCTGTCCAAGGCCAAGTCGGCCTCCTCRGAGCGGGAGGCCTCCCCGAGCAACAGCTGCCAAGACTCGACGGACACCGAGAGCAACACGGAGGAGCAGCGCGGCGGCCTCATCTACCTGACCAACCACATCAACCCTCACGCCCGCAACGGGCTGGCCCTCAAGGAGGAGCAGCGGGCCTACGAGGTGTTGCGGGCGGCCTCCGAGAACTCGCAGGATGCCTTCCGCGTGGTCAGCACCAGCGGCGAGCAGGTGAAGGTGTACAAGTGCGAACACTGCCGGGTGCTCTTCCTGGATCACGTCATGTACACCATCCACATGGGCTGCCATGGCTTTCGCGACCCCTTCGAGTGCAACATGTGCGGCTACCACAGCCAGGACAGGTACGAGTTCTCCTCCCACATCACGAGGGGGGAGCACCGTTTCCACATGAGCTAAAGCTGCAGCCCACCCCACCCAGAAAGCACAAGGACTGCCTCCCTCACCCACCCTCCTGCTGGCAGCATGGGCCTCACGGACCCTGTAATTTGGGGTATGGATTTTTAGGTGGCTTTTTTTTTTTTTTTTGGTCTTTTCCAGTTGATTGATTGGGATATGATTTGCTTTTGAAAACGAGATTTTTATTGTTAGAGGCAGGACTGCATCAGGAGCATTGAGAACTGTTATCTTCCTAGACGTTCCTGTAGACTGCTAGCTGAAATTCCCTCACCTGTGGCTTCCTAGCATTCCCCCCCCCCTTCTCCAATTAGTCTGGATTTTCAGAAAGAGTTCAATAAAACAAGCCAGTGCATGGGAAGGAGCATGGCAGTCCCTGTGCTAAGCATGGGGGTTCATGCACCCAGGTATAATCCAAGTCCCCAGAAGAGTGTGTAGAACCGGAGAGGTGTGGCCATCCCAGCAAACTGAACGGTGAGCAGCAGGACCAGCAACCCATGGTGAGACCAAAGACATGGGCCACCAGCATCCAGAGCAGAAAGACTGCACTTTGTAAGAGTTAATATTGTCATATTCTACATAGGAAAATAAATCAGGAAAGAGTGTGATACAGGGCTTCCCTAGGCAGAGGGAGAGGGGAAGGATTGGAGAGCCCTTGGACTGCTTCTCAACTTCTGAGGTTGGAAATGTTGCCCAGATGAATCTCTTGAGGTTTGGCGCCAGGTGGGATGAGTTCAGTGTCCCTGTGGGTAAATCTGGGGATCCCTAACCTCTGCTTTGCCATTTTCCATACTTGTAATGGCCCCAAACCCTATCACTACATTTTTAAATACTTGTCCYGAAATTTGGACCTTAATTCTTTTTTCACTTCCCAGAAACCAAAGCTTTCTTCCAGATTCCACACTCATTTCTCTGGTCTTCCTCAAGATTAATCATACCATTAAAGTCATTACTCTCTACCACCTCAGCCAAAAAAAAAAAAAAAATAGCATACAGTTTTAAATGTTTACAGTACTTGTCTTCACCGGAACTGTCCAAGGTCCACATAAACTTGTAGAAACAGAGAGGAAATTGTATGTTAGTAACTCAACATTTAATCCAGGGATTCTTAGTGCTTAGCCCCACTGACATTTTAGGCTGGATAAACACTGGTCCTGGGCACTGTAGAATATTTAGCAGCATCCCTGGTCACTGCCCAGTRGATGCCCACAGCACCCACAGTTGACATTGACAAATGCCTCCAGACATTTCCAAATGTTCCACTGGGGGGAAAAAAAATCACCTCTAATTGGGAACCACTGATCTAAATGAATTCTAAACCAGTCGAAGGTCTGGGCAGCTTTCCAAAGATAAAAAGCACTTTGAAGACTTTTCCCAGTCAGCAGTCTCAAGTTGGACTTGTGCTCCTTTAGAATGATTATAAATTCTATACGTGAGTTATTCCCTTTCAGTGTTCACAAATATACTTCCTCATGTGCACTTGAATTTCATTGAAAGGACAGAGTTCAGAAAGATGTCACTCTTCAGTCTTGGATTTCTTTGCTTCCAGAACAGTATAGCATTTTGAAACTGGAAATAAACAAAATTGTAACTGTAATAATTTAGTCTCTGCTACACCAATGCATTGAGTGAAGGAAGAGATGGAAGAACCAGGGCTATGSATGGCTTTGGTCAATATGCAGTTACAGAGACAGACACGCCTTATCCAAATTCATATACTCAAGCTGAGAACCTTCTTAGCTTTCCAGTTTGCTGGCAGATTTCACCTACCCTCTCCATTTTGATGCATCCCAGAAATTCAATTGGTTGAAGGGAGTTATTTTTTTTTTTCTAATGGCATTCAAGCAAGGCTTAAGCCAGAACTGTAAATAGTGGTCATGGGAGTTCTTTTCTAAAATGCTTTGCCCCTTCCTCTCACTGCCTTTTATAGCCAATATAAATGTCTATTTGCACACCTTTTGTTGTGGTTTTATATTGTAACAGCATTTTTTGAAACTATTGTATTTAAAGTAAGGTTTCATATTATGTCAACGAGTAATTAAATTATGTTTGAAAGGTGGCCATATTCTGTACCAAAAGTTGCTGAAGTTTTTCTTCTAGCTGGTAAAAGTAGGATTTTGCATGACCTCACACTTTTTCTTCTGTGGTTTGTTCTGTTGTATGATGGCATGAGTGTGTGTCTCAAGTACGGCTGTGTACTGAAGTGTGCCTACATTCCATGCGCTCCCATTGTGTTTCAAATAAATACCAGAGGTAGGAGGGTCCACCAGTAGCAGCTTGAGCTGTGGATGACAGCTAGCACTGGTTCTCATTCCCTTCTCCTGCCTGTCCTTCCTGCTTCCTGTGGAATGCCTGGACTATGCTCCCTATCCCAGGTTCCCTCTGTAATTTGTACTTTAGAGTGTGTCCTTGTCCTAGTGAAAGAGTCACTAAATATCATTGCATTATCATTGCATTATCACCAAAGGGCATTTCCCAGCACCAATTGCTTCAGAAACCAGCATGTTCCATTTCAAATTTAGAATCAGTCATAATAAATAAATCTTAGAATCTTCACTGAGAAAGAGAGCTACCTGTTATGGAGATGTGGGTTTGTTTTATGGTTTTTTTTTTCTATTTTGTGCTTTTATCTTCTTTCATTTTGTTTGGACTGCATTGTGATTCTCATAACATCCCCTTCTTGCCAAAACAAAATCGAGTTGAACTAGACTTATACAGAYACATCATGATGCATATGTATTTCTTCATTCTTCAGTTCTTCCATTCCAGCAATAATGAAGGATCAACCCTATTTAAAACCCAGATCTCCCTCATTGCATATCCATTTCAATGTTTCTTACTTTAAAATGAACCAAAATTAAACTTATTTAAGATGTACAGGTATCAGAAAAAAAAAGTACAGATGCTTTTGGTGCAGGAGCACTCACTGTGAACAAGTGTAACCAGATATTAATATGCAATATTGTTCCAATACTTTCTAATACACTTTTTTATAATATTCTGTGTGGTGATTGTTGAGGTCAAATCCTTTGTAACCAATACAGCTTTAGTTCTTCTCCTCCCTTCGGGCAGGTACACATGCACAGGACTCTAAATGAGAAAAAAAAACGCAGCCATCTTTCCAATCTGCCTCCATGATGATGTTAAATTATCTCTGTTTAGCTGTGATCAAGGGATRTACCACTGGAGGGACAGAGTATCCTTTTGTACACATTTTGAAATGCTTTTTTTCTGTAGTGATAGAACAAATAAATGCAACAAATACTCTGWCTGCCCTATCCTGTGAAGTCCTCACTAGTATATGCCAAGGCCCAACAAAGCAGGAATCTTCTCTAGACTCCTTCCCAGTTAGATCAGAGGATTCGAGGAAGAAGAGATAAGCTTGARACAGTTGCAGTACCTGTAGATGCTTCCAGCAGGTATAGCCATTCAGCTCTGCACACTGACTTCCCATCTGTAACTTCAGGGCTTACGAAAACCAAGTCAGTCTTGAGAGTGGGTAAGGTGGGGGGCAGCAAGCACTACCTCTGTGCTCCCCACAGCACACCACCGTAAAGACATGAGTGGCATGTGCCCACAGTGGTGGGAGCTCAGAGGACAGAGTGAGCTCAGAGGCTGTACCCTGCGGGTAGGTACCTGCAAAGCTGCTTTCCCACGCCTAGGCTGCGTCCATGCCACGAGCTTTGCCCTTGCTCTGCTGTAGAACTGTATGGTCACAAGCCTTTCTTTGGTGAAAATCTTTTGTCCCTTTCAGATGAACAGCCAAACATCACCTGAGTTCAGATCCAGAAAATAAGGAGAGGTGATTAAGTTTAGGAGCCAAGGAATGTAAAACTCAAAGGAAATAAATACAACATTAGGATTTCACATCAAGCCCTGAAAACAGCACCCAAGGAGGACTTTCATAAACAAGGTAGCATCATTTTCAGCCATTTCATGTTTCTTCAATGAAGAGCATGTTGTTCAYGCAAATACACATAAACATGGTTAGACACCACTTAGAAATTTATTTCATATTACACCTTCTGTATTCTTCGTGATCACAGGTCAAAAGAATGTCTACATTATTTAAAAATAKCCTGGTCTCRGGCTGGGGCTGTAGCTCAGTGGCAGAGCGCTTGCCTAGCATGTGTGAGGCACTGGGTTCCATCCTCAGCACCACATAAAATAAGTAAATAAATTAAATAAAGGCATGCTGTCCATCTACAACTAAATAAATTTTTTTTTTAAATAGCCTGGATTCAAACTAAGGGGGAGAAGTCATTCAAAAGGATGGGTGTTTAACAGAGTGAGAACCTTGTCTGTGGATCTATTTGTAAAACTATAGAATATAGCTTTGCAKCTCAGTTTCCAAGGAAGCTTAATGAATGTGCATTGAAATTAAATTTWAAAAAAACAACAAATAAAAAGATTTTTTTTAATGTGCATTGAAAGCCTCCTGCAAAAGGGAGCCACTGGCTAGCTCATCCTGGAGACCATCACAGTGAAGACACGAAGTAGAGGTCCCAAAACTCTTTAAAAAAGAATGATATACTTCATTAATTGCATTTCRCTACCTTTGATTTTAAGTAGTCCTGAGAATTAGCCTCAGGGTGACCTTTTGATGCTGTAGACCATTTACGTYCATTTACCTACTTCTGGCCTAAAGAGAAAACTGGAAACAGCTGCTTACTTCACTTCTGAGGCGTAGTGTCAATCTAAACATCAAGCTGTATTTTAATGGTGAATGTGGGAATTAAGGATTGGGAGTTAAAAGACTAGGCTTGGAGGCTGGAAGCCAAAGATCCCTGATCCCGTTTCCAATGAATATATCATAGTTTCTATCAAAATAAAACATCATGAGGTTCYGTGACCCCTTGGTGAATCCTTCATATGTTCTCATCAAATGCACTCAGATTCTCACGAAGTAGTTCCTTTGGCTGTTTTCCAAAGGTCACGTCTTTCTGTTATAGCCTCTCAAACTCCAGCACCGAGCAAGGAGCAAAAGAGACATTCAGAGAATTGAGCAATTGGTGAAAGACTCAGGGGAAGTTCT